AATGCCCGTCGATGATGAAGGTTGCAGCCGAGATAACACCGATGATGGGGAGGAGAAGGAGGAAGTCGATGAGGTTTTTGGTGAGCCAGAGATTCGATATTTTATCTTTTCTGTTTTTCTTAAATTGCTTTTTGCTTCAAAGATCTTAAATTTCGAGATTTCTTCCGATCCAGTTAAATTTTCGTATTTTTTCAGGACCTGTACCACCTTGGGAACAGAAGACGAAAGCAGATGATGATGACTACGCCGAACGATTAATGCGTGTGGAAGCACAGCAGGCTAGCAAGGTGATATTCATGAATAAGCTAAATCAACCTTAAGCTTATTTGCAACATAGAAATCCCTCTTTTTTACATTTGGCGAGTTTACAAAAAAAAAAAAAAAAAAGAAAAAAATGGAAGCCTCTGCTGCTGCAAAGAAAATTGGGCTCTGATTCCTTGCGTGAAAAGCGAGATGTTTCATATAAATAAGGAAATTAAGTGAACGAGAAGCGCGTTGCACTTGATCTGAGGTTTGAGAGTCTTTTCGTACGATGAACAACAATACGAATTAGTAAAAAAATCAAAAAATTTACTTTCGTATACGTTTACGCTAAATTTGACAAGATTTTTTGATAATTGTAGTTTGATTTAAGGGAGCAACAAGCAAACGACCCGAATGGATGACGCAGTTACCAAAACGACTCACTGGCTATGGTTTAACAGCTCGAACGTTTTCTAACATCAAAGATTCACCGGGGAGCGAAGAAGCTAAGCGTGCATGGACAGAAACCTTAGAGGAGAAGAAAAAACGTTTGGTAATTTTTGTGGCTCTGAGAAACTTCTCTTAAATTTTTCTTATTTTTCATATATTATTCATATCCAAGAAATTTATCCAAGATTTTTCATATTTCATATTTTTTGTCCTAGATAAAATTTATGAATAAATACCAGTCATTTTGCCACTCATCTTAAGAAGAAAAGAATTACTGAAAACTGTGCCAAAATAATTACTAGGGCAGTCAGGAACTGCTCCTCATAGCAAAAATCGTGTGCCAAACTCGAGAATAACCGCTGTCGCCCAAACTCTCAGTAGCCGGGTCTTGAAATGATATTTCATTAAATTGACTGCCCTTCAGTTGAATTTGATCAGTTGTTTTCATACTGATTGTTTCTGAAGGAGAGCGGTACGCCGTCATCTATCGCTGGACCAAGCGGATTATCTTTGGAGGTACAAGGTGAAGCGAATGCTGATGCTGCGCAAGCTCGACGTGCTGCGGTTTTTGAAGTAATTTTTTCTCAAAATTTTGTAAAATATGTTTTTTGCATTCTCAAATTCTGGTCTTTTTTTTGTGCTCTTCAGTTTCGTAGAACTAGGAATTTTCGTCTCACCTCAGCACATTTCGTTGTCCATGCAACTGGCGCTCTTAAAATAGTTTATATGCGGTTGAAAAAGAAAGGAAAGAAAGAGCTGGAGGGCTGGAGGCCCTTTCTTTCCTTTCTATTTCAACCATTTATAAACAATTTTAAGAGTGCCCGCTGCACGGACAACGAAATGTGCCGTTTTAAGTGATCCTATAATTTTTGTGGAATCTGATATTTTTGTCGAACTTCGTTCCGATCAACTTATTCCTCCGGCTCGGCCATGTTATTCGGCGCGCCCACGTTATCCGGCCCGGCCGTGTTGCTTACTTCTGGAGAGATCCGCGCACGGTCGGATCTCATTTCTTTTTATGCGTTTTGTGCTGTGTAACAGCAGTACAAAACGCATATTGTTACGGGGTTGTCTGTGTGTGTGTTTGTGTGTCCGCAGCAACTTGTCCGCAACTTTCAACTCGGGAACCACAAAAGCTAGGAAGCTGAAAATAGGGTAACGTTTCCCACCCACGTGTGACCCCACAAATTTAAATTCAGCTTCCCCGTACCCACGGGTAACGTGTACGGCCGGACGTTCCCCACCCATGTGTGACCCCGCAAATTTAAATTCAGCTTCCCCGTACCCGCGGGTAACGCGACGGCCTGTGAATGTTTTTTACGGGTAAGTCAATATCTCGGGAACCACGGAGTCTAGGAGGCAGAAATTTTAGGGCAATGACCCCCTGCCCACCCTCAACCTTGCCCACTCGAATTCAGCCTTCCCTTACCCG